TATCCGGATTATTTATTAAAGCTTTTTTTTATCAATGCAGACCCATATTTCAAACATTTTGTGTTCACGGATGGTTCGAATATTGAGGACAATGTAGGAGCATCTGTAGTTTACTCAATTCATGGAAATTCGAACTTTAAACATCATTTGGGCTTCAAACTTGCCAACTATTGCACGATACCAGAAGCAGAGCTATACGCAATCTATCGTGCACTCACCTATATTCAGAAGTCAAATACGATTAAAGGCAACATTCGTATATGTACAGACAGTCAGACTGCCTTGAACAGAATCAACCGCAATTACACCAAGTGTCAGACAACCAAATTAATTCACGAATTAATTCATAATCTTACAAATGTAAACATTTCCTTTTCCTGGGTCAGAGGACATAGTGGCGTTCAAGGGAACGAAGAAGCAGATAGGATTGCAAAGCTCTATGCCAACTCTTCAGAAAATAAAATTTACACAAGTATAACGAAAACGAATATAAAAAATCTTGTGGAACAGACTGCAAAACAACTGTGGCAGATGGAGTGGATCAGCAGTGACACAGGAAGATTGACATTTGGCTTTCTTCCTGATATTCAGGAACGTTTAGCCATGAAACACTTGCGCATCAACTACTTTTCCAGCCAAATTTTAACAGTTCACGGTAATTTTAGACAATATTTACACAGATTTGGTTTCAGTGAAGTGGACACATGTGATTGTAATAACTCTTCGACTCAAAATGTGGAACATTTTATTTTCAACTGCGAGAAGTTTAAACAAAAACGTAAAAGGCTAATGTACAGTGCTTTACATCATGGGTTTAACTGGCCTTGTCCCCTCTCCAAACTGATTTTTAATCGAGGGATTTTTAAAGAGCTGATGAAATTCGTCATAGAGACAAAAGCTCACAACGTGAGTTTCAGCAGGACATAATTCTCCAGGCAAGCCAAATCATACTCTTATATACGTAAAAGTTTCGAAGACTTTTCTTCATCATTGTATACATATGTGTTTCAAGTGTTTAGTGTTTAATGTCTGTGCAAACTTTAAATGCCAAAAATTATGGACATCCTGCAACGTAACCTCTGCAATGTGCCAACATGTACATAATTGTAAACTTTTATGTTTTTCGAAAGTTAATTTTGATGTTATTTTATTTTTGATTGACAGAATTTTTATTTAATTACAATTTTTATCTACTTGTCTGCATTTTTCAAACTGATATAATTATGTATTGCTTTTTGCAACTTCCTGTAAGCTTCAGGAAGACTCATTGTACATATGTTTTATCTTTCTGTAGTTATTTATTTTGTAAATAAATGCCGGTGCAGATGCCATGGCCTCCCCTTTCATCTCTTTTCTTATCTCACTTTTTTTTCACCTTCGCCTCTTCTCTTAAACTCTTTTCTATCTTGTCTTCACCCCCAGGCAATACCTATGAGTAGTCCTGGGTCTTCATCCCCTATGCTACAAAATATATACAAAATATAACGCTATGTAAACTTGACGAGTTAACTCGTCAATGGGTTAAGAGCGATATACTAATNCCCCTTTCTTATCTCACTTTTTTTTCACCTTCACCTCTTCTCTTAAACTCTTTTCTATCTTGTCTTCACCCCCAGGCAATACCTATGAGTAGTCCTGGGTCTTCATCCCCTATGCTACAAAATATATACAAAATATATCAAAGCTTTTTATAAAATCGCAAGTTGGTGATTTTCGTGGCATTCCCGTTTTATGGGATATCAACGGAACGCATTTACGCTTCGTATTATTCGGTGCACTTTTAATGTCTGTTTTATTTATTTACCTGCTTAATACAAATGCAATACACATAATAAAGGCAATCAAAATCCTAAACGAAAACGTAATATGCGCAAAAAAAATTCACCAAAAATTACTGCTTTATCAAGACCTGATTGAACTCTATTTCAGCCTTGTCTATTGCGTGTTTATTAGTTGGCACTTTGTACGTGTATTACAGGAACGCTTCCGGTTACTCAAAATTACTGTGGCAAGAAAGTTTCTGTACCTTTCATGTTTTATTTGGCGTTTCTATCAATGTCAGCGTAAATTGTTTTAGCGGGGGATTCATTTTGATTCTTACTTATTGATTACTTATTACTTGATTACTTTGATTATTATTCACTCTATTCAATTGTTACACACATTTATTATGGACATAAAAGAAAAAATACAAAGGGGCGAATTCGATAGCAAGACATCGCTACAGAAACTGTCGTCGATTGTATATTTTATTAAAAGTATTGATAAAATATGCAAAACTATTCATGTTTTGATAATAACAGTTTTCATTCCCAAAATCAGAATCGTAAGTATATGTGTGGTACTTTACGTATCGTTTACAATAGAATATCTGTTGATATGCTTTTCAATATTTTGGATATAAACTGTTATAGTAACATGTTTTTTTCATTTACTATTGAACACAAGACTGTGTTATTATTATAACACTTGGCGTTTATCCACTTTATTCAGTTGATACGGGCACTTTTACACGTTTTGGGCGTATAGACCCTCATCAGTCAACTGATAAGAAGAAACATTTACATTAGATTATTACATTTTGTAAAAATTATATAACGATTCTAAAACATGTAACTTTCAAGACATACCATTAAAAATGCAATGACACTCGTACAGCACAAGTTATTATTCACTGCTGTTAGGATAAGTTGATAACATTGATAACATAAATCTACATATATTAAATTAAAAAATAAAACGCTGTATAATTATACACGCTTATACTGATAACGCACAGAACTATACTAATTTTTGTTTACTCTTGTTTCTTACTGTTAAATAGCCGTGACACATCCTTTATCTTCTTACTAAAGTTGATAAATATATAGGCAGAATCCTTTTTAATGATTAATGAATATATTTGTTGGTTTCTCACAACATTTCATTTGCACATAAAAAAATCAGATAAACCTCACTTTGCATATTATAACAATTTCGTTTCCTGGGCATTACACGCCAAGTGTTTTAATAATAACACAGTCTTGTGTTCAATAGTAAATAAATACGAAAACACGGTTTCAAAAAACGAATGTTTTTTTTACTTGACAAGAATTCTTTCGAACGTAAGTTACTTTTATTCTATAGAAATTCTGTGAATTGTATGTCTCCTAACCACGTGAATTGTTTAAGAAGAATTATGTAATTAATACATTTCAGATGGAACGGTTTTTCACTTGTATAATGGACATTTCCTTGACGATGACAATAAAAAAATTGTAAATATTCTTTTATAATTTATAAATTATGTTTCTTCGCCGATTTGCATGAAAATATGTTTGAATTTTATTATATTTTAAGTCAAAACTCGCGTAACGACAGTACAATGAAATGTGTTTTCTTTGTTTTCTGCCGGAAGTATTAATGTTCATATCGAGAGCCGAAGTGGGATTCAGAAGCAACAACTTCTTTTTCTTCGACAAGCAAACGGTTTTAAATGTAAGTTTAATATCTCATATATTATATTATAACAACGTATAGATTGTTTCTATTATTATTATTATTATATATACTAGCTGCAAGGACCCGCTTCGCTGGGCAAAAAGTAACGATAGTGAAGATTAAGATAATTACATTATAGCCAATCTTACCCGTTTTCACAGAATGCAAGAATTAGGTCCCCCGTTTCCAGACTAATTAGAGAACTTTTACCTCCAGTCAAACGAACTATTTTCAATTTGATCAATTTTCTGGAACGTTTACAATCGTTCTATAATCGAACCAATTCGAATTCGAATTCGAACAAATTTGAAAAAATTCGAACATAACATTCGAAATAGAAAACCACTTTCAACCACTTTAGGCCCCATATCCCCCGCACCCTTGTAGCTATCGAGACGCAACCCCCATAGTGCACGAATGGAGACTTGCGGCTACCAACATATACAAACAGCATTCATGTGCGATGTATAGTTTTGGCGGAAAAGTGAAATATAGGGAGACACATGTCCATATATATATATATATCTAAATATATAAAATTGCTTGTCCTGACAGACTGACTCACTCATTCACTGACTGAGTGATTCATTATCGCCCAGAGCAAACCGCTTAATTTAGAGAGGTGAAATTTGGTAGATAGTTAGAATACGTCATGGAAACGCACACTAAGAAGGGATTTTTCGAAATTCCCCCGCGGGGGGAAAAAGAGAGAATTAAGGGTTAACCGGAAAAACGGCTTCTACTGTACTATTTTAGATGCGATTTTTTGTTTTCAACTACGTTTAGTCTTCATTGAGTACTTAGGTGTATTAAATTAATGACATTTCAGACATTTCGATTTTAAAAATGTTCGATCCGTTTTAAATTCGAATTTGTTATTGCATATTGGTTCGATTATAGAACAATTGTAAACGTTCCAAAAAATTAATCAAATTAGAGATAGTTCGTTTGATTCTCGGCAATTCTCTTCAGCGGTAGGTGTTATATGACAATTACTATGGTTATTGAAATATTAAATGTAAAGGGGGTTTGCTTGCAAAACCTCCGCGGACAAAGTTGCGGGTAACAGCTAGTATATATATATTGAATTAGATATAGATATAGATATAGATATTGTAACATTATACAAGCATTTTTATATAAAAAAATTATGTATTTTGTTTCAGTATACTGTGGAATTCATCACACAATTAATTGGATTTATTCTAATAAGAAGAAAATCTATTATAAATTAATACGTATCTTACCGAATATTTCACTAATTTTGTTGACTTCGTAAACAAAAATTATGTCTGATGCCAAGTGTATGCAATTGTATTAAATTAAATAATATAATTTAATATAATAGAAAGATTAGAAGCATGAAATAATCTTAATGTTTGTTTTTATATTTTGCCCGAGGAACGTCGACCTAATCTGCTAGCTATTTAATAAGCCAGTATAGATAATTGTTCATTTCTTGTTACTAAATGGCATATAAATAATTTCTAAGCACGAAATAAAATATAAAATAACAAAACTTACAAAAGTTATGCCTTTAATATATCAGTAACATTAGTTACAACATTGCCTTATAAAGAACGATGAAAGTAACTTTTTATTCTACTTTTGCAGATGTTGATGGCTTCTCGAGATCGTCTTTGGATTCAGAGATTAAACTTTGACGTCTTTCTTTCGATTTCACAAAGTTATTATATTTTCGTCTGTAACTTTTCAGCTTATATTTCATTTCTAAGTTTCTGAGCTTGCGTTGGAGTTCATTACATAAATCCTTCGGCATAGTTGAAAGTAATTTCAAATGTGATAATAGAACCGAACAACGTTTTTTTTTCTCTACTTCTGTATCATCCGAATTTTCTGAGTGTAAACACTCGGATTTCTGATCTTCAAAATGTTTTATGAATTCGTCGTAATCGAACGAAAATGAATCTTCTCTGTGTATTGGTGTTGGACATAAAGTAGGAGGTGATTCTGGTTCAGTTAGACTCAACACATCTAATTTTCCTTCTGCCTGAAGTATAGAAACGTCAACTGAAAAGCAAATACTCCACATTAATTGTTTGAGAATTGTTTCATATTATTATTTATATTGTTATTATTAATTTCGTTATAAATGTCTAGCTATTCTTATATTTTATTCTACTTTTGTTCTAAAATAATATTTGAAGTATAAATAATATCATTTGTGTTAGTTTTTTAAGAGAGGGAAAGAATGGCGATCGATCGATTAAAATAAAATCTGGCTACAGATAACGCACACTCAATTTTAATTTTTTGCTGGGAAAGTTATACAACTCGTTGCTAGATTTTTATTCCTTCCAAAAAGTAGGTTTCTGGAATTTACGAGTTATTGAAGCGAGACCATCGGTGTTATCAATGTCCATTTTAACGAAGGTTAACGAAATTACTGTATATTTTAAGTTCATCGTTAACTGTGTACGGTACAGTGCAAATGCTTTAAACATGGGCATATATGAGGACAATTATCTGTTCTTCTGCCACTCGTACGCACATGAACTTACATGTAAGAGATGTGTATATATGTGTACAACACATAGAGTATACTGTAGTTAAAAGCGTTTTCGCTGAAGTCGTATAGAAACTATTACACCTTCGTCTCGCTAATCCTAATTCCGTTTAATTGAAACCAACTCTGTGTTTATTCTAATGTCTCAATCAAAAATGTGGTTCGAACATTTAGTATGCCGAAAATCATACATTAATTAAATAAAAGTATACACCTAAATATAAAAAATACATCGTTCGAACTCTGCAACGTTCGAAGAATGAGATACTGTACGCCTGTCTTTGTCATTCGTTTTTTCGATTTCTTTTGCTTTATTCTAATTTTCTAATCTAAACTGAAATTGTAAAATACATGATTTTTTCATACAGCATTTCCATACCTTCACTGTATTGCTGTGTAGCAAAAGTAAAAGATATTCAGTATGATAAGAAAAAATAAGACAGAGATAGGAAGTAAATCACAATCGGAAAAATCATTGTCCTTAATTGCAGTGAAAGTCAATAAACTGACTAATAGAAAATGTCACTAGTACACTATAACAAAAGAAATTAACAAAGAGAAATCGTCATACAAAGACATAAAACAAGAAGAATTATAAAATTAAATTCTGCTTATTAAAGGTATTTAACAGAAGCGTTGCGCAATATCAATGTTAATAAATAATTTTCTCGCATTTTATGCTGTCAGAGTTTTTATACCAACGTCCCAGCTATTCCCCATTCAAAAGGTTGACAAGTATGTATTGTCCCTTATACAATAAATAGACAAAGGAAACGAAAACGAATATGAATTAAATCGATCATCAGCGAATTGTTATAACTAGATTTAAGTGAACGAAAGATCGATCGAGCCAAGTAAAGTACACATGGTGATCAATCGTTCGATCACTGGCATACCAACAAGTTTTATACAGAATAAATTATTATTAGATACTTTTACTTACAACTATCATCGTCGTCACTTAATAACATCGAGTGTGCTGTAAGGAATGCGGTATCACTTTCTTCGGTCATCATTTTTGCGATTTTACGGTCTTCAGTTTTTTCCTCTTTCTTCTATTGTTATTTTGACAAGAAATGGTAGCGCTTCCTCTATTTAAAGCAATTGGATAGTACTGACGTCACTGGTAAAGATGCGTCAAAGAATGACACATTGTTTATCTTAGATTACAGAACGCTGGTTTTGCGGGCCACAGTTTGAATAGCATCGTTTTCCTGTCTGATGACCTTTTAGAAAGGTCAGAAGTCACTAGAAAGAAAATGTAAAGTATAAGTTATATTTCATGATTGACGTTGCGAAATGACGAATATTTATCATTTAGTCACACATTTAAGCAAAGATTATTCATCCGATTTTTCATAGCCAAGTGACTTATGTGAGTAACGTGAACTTTTAAAAGTGAGATTCGAATAACAGTTGCTCTCTTCGTCTCCTCAGAAATGCATTTTTTTAAAAATTTAGTAACGAGGTGCGTAACTTTTCCGGCAACAGTTAAAACTGCGTGTGGCGTATTTTGCTTAAAAACTTTTTATATTATTAATTATTCTAAAATGAAAAAAGCTTAATTTCGAGGGTAGCGAAGAGTTTTATTATTTTTGTTCTTTTTAATTTTCCAATGCTAATAACGAGTAAAATCTTTTTCAAGTCCGACTCCACTCGAGATACACACACGACTCTATCTTTCCAAGCCCTTCGAACTTTAACCATCAAAATTTAACAGCATCGATCCCTCTAATATATACAAATCTCTCTGCAAAATTGCAGAAATTGTCGACAAAAGACACGAGAGTTATTAAGCTTCAAATCGGCATCAAATATACAGGAAAAAACTCATTGTTTGGCATTTCTCGACGTTTCGAGGTGCTCTGAGTGTAAAAATGTAAAAATCTTGGAGGGTTATTTTTTGATCGATCGCCATACTTTCTCTGTTACATTCACTGAACTGATAAAACTGCTTGTATTGTAGAGTACACTACAGTACACTTCGTTTAGTAAACAATAGAAGAAATCCATACGTTGAAACTACTATATATAAGAGCAAATGGTTAAATTACTCTTTATTAAGTTAAAAATATTTTAATATGATATTAAAAGCATTATAAGTAATGATGTTTACCATAGCAAATGTAATATTGTACTGTATGTCATAACTTCTAACTACTGAAGCACCCATAACTTCTGACGAATTAAGATTTATTTCTCTTCTGTCGGAATTAGAGAAACTCTTCTCCATTTGTTTGTCCCTTTTTTCGGACCAAATCTATACGATTTTTCAAGAAGGACAGGGACACCTCCGACGTTTTCGTCCAGCTGAGCTCCACGCTGCCCTGAAACTGCATTTCCCCCGACCGGAATTGCTGCTAGATGTCCGCTACTTCCGTAGCGGTCTTCTAATTATTAAAACTCGGGATCACCAAGCCGCAGAGGCGGCTCTTCGTATTCCCGATATTGCCGGAATACCAGTCCGCGGCCGTCTGGCCCCGGATTGTGCCCAAACCGCTTATCTCCTTCTTGGGGTGGACCGGTCGATCACAGTCCAAGAAATTTACGAAATTCTTTCGGACTCCCACTTTCCAATCCTAGAGATACGTCGTTTTACACGACGGAACGGGGATAGCATCGAGTTTAGCTTTACGGTTTACTTCTCAGTGGCCAGTGCTTCCCCGTTGGAATCCGTTACTATCCATTACCAACGATACTACTGTGAGCGATATATTCCTCGCCCACGCCAATGCAGGCGATGCCTCAATTTTGGCCACTCGTCCACGACATGCCGCGGCCGCCGCAAATGTATTACTTGCGGGGCTGACCATGACACAGTCACATGTACTGCCGCTGCTGCCGGCTGTGTGCGTTGCGGAGGAGAACACTCTGCGGATTCTCCCCGCTGCCCAGCCTATCAGCAAGAGGCATGCCTGCTAAAATTCAGCGCCATCCAGCGCTGTTCTTATCTAGAAGCCAAGCGCTCGCAGAGCAACTCCCCAAAATCATACGCAAGAGTGGTCTCTAATTCACCTCAAAACCGTCCGACAGGACCCCTCGTTGTGAAAAACAGCCAGCTCTTTCTACTATTGGATAGACAGGAGACATTTTGACCCTAACCAATCGTATTTCCCAATTGGAATCCGTTGTGGAGAAGTTATGCGCAAAAGTTAAGTCTTCTTTGCTCGATCATTCAGCCTACCCCGCTCAACCCAACTCAGGGTTCTCTCCGTGAGCCGAGTCTGGACAAGGAACTGACCGTGTCTACGTCAAATAAGCGCTCTTCCTATCCGGCAGGCCCTTTGACTCCTGCCAAACTCCAAAAAAGAAGAAAGGACCTAAACCTCGTCCCACCGATCCATTAATGGCATCCGACTCAGAAGGTCAAAATTCGGACATGGACCACACGTACTCCACGGTGTCCACAAGTGTAACTCCCATAGAAGACCCCTGCTTTGCCTCCCCAGCCGAGAAGGCTAAACTTCGCCGCCACTAGCCCAATTCCCCCAAGCACAATGTCTAACCCCTCAAGCAATTTGCAAAATCTCCGCTTGATACATTGGAACGCAAGAGGTGTTCGTTCTAAACGTGATCTTCTTTTGGCGGCTTCTTGGCTACGTACCGTGGATATCATCCTGGTACAGGAGACGTGACTAACTCCTGAAGTGGTGTTTTCCATTCCAGGATTCACTCTCTTCCACCAGGATCGCACCTCTGCTCAGGGAGGGATCTTCTAACAGCGGTCTCTCACCGCCCACCCGCCAGCTGCCCCCTGGTCCCAAGATCTCCGGCATCGAATATCAAGAAACCTTGGTATACTTTTTATGGGCTCCTCTCTCTCTTGTTAATGTATATTTCCCACACGGCATCTTTTCGGCTGTTTCTCTGGACCCCCTTTGCGGAGCAGTCACCACCCTCGCATACTGTGCGGGAACTAGAACGCTCATCATCCCTATTGGAATAACGAGTGCAAACGCCCAGATATTGCGGGCCGCACCCTCTTCGATTGGTTCTCATCCGCGAACTTATGCTGTTGGAACTCTGGGGAACCAACTTATTTCCACTCAAACGGTTCATTAGCTATAGACCTGACCTTCTGCTCCCCGGACCTATTAGGTTCCGCCTTATGAAGCCCTTGCGTGGACACCCTAACCAGTGACCACGCTCCTATTTCGATCACTCTATCAATCTCGGGCACCCCTAACCCGACGTCTACCCCTCGTCTACACTTTTCAACAAACTGGAGTCGTTATTCAAATAAACTCGATCAGCTTTGGACTACCGAGGAATTAATTCCCACTTCGTATAACGCCTTTGTAGACACTATCCGTGAGACGGTCTCCTCTAATACTATAATTCGCTCCTTCCCTCCTCGGGTCAACCCCCGTGGTAGACCCCTGTATGCAGTCGCCTTAGAGCGCTTAAACGTCGCGCGTTCCGTCTAGCCTGCAGGAGGGCGTCTCACTCCTGGTGGGATAAATATAAACAATTAGGAGCGAAACTCCGTCGGAAGACCTGTCAGGCTCGTCGGGAGTGGTGGGGTCGTTTGTGTGCCTCTCCCCCTCTCCATCCACACTCTATCGTATCTTTCGTCGACTGAGATCCCCGCCGGCGATCACGGCCACCTAACATATAATCCAAACGACGGACTACCTACTCAGTACCATCCAGCAGGCTGAAGCCTTTGCATCCTTTTTTGGGCGTACCCGCCCAAGGGGCACTTTTGTTCCCCTTGATGATCTCCGGCTAGGGGCCCCAAAGTTTTACGATTCCCCCTTTCATCTCCTTGAACTCCGCCGGGCTATACACCGTCTTCAGAACACTACACTGGGCCCAGATGGAGTAAGATCACACGCCTTACGGTTTTTCCCAAAAGTGGGCCTCTCGGCCCTCCTCAATCTCTTAAACGATCTCTGGGCCTCAGGGTCCTGCCTCCCAGACTGGACCTCTTCTACCGTTGTTCCGATTATTAATTAAACCGGGTCGCCCAGCAATGATATGCGCCTCTTATAGACCGATCTCTCTTACCTCTCACGTCGCAAAACTATTTGAACGGCTAATCCTCTATCGAATCCATAAATCGACCTTTCATTCTGATATCCTCCACCAACACCACTTTGGCTTTCTCCTTTACCGAGGGGTAGAAGAGGCCCTTATTACGTTACACCACCATATAGCTGTGTCCCGAGCAAGAAAGCACTGGGTATACCTAGTCGCACTCGACGTAGAAGGGGCATATGACTCAGTGTGCCAAGAAGGACTCCTAGCTAAATTAGAATTTTTCGGTATGGGAGGGAGACTCTTGTCCTATCTTAAATCGTTCCTATTACATCGTTTTTTTCGCGTCCGTTGGCGCAGAGTGCTGTCACCTCCTCACGCCTTTATCCAAGGCGTCCCCCAGGGGAGCGTTCTTGCCCCCATTCTATTTACATTATACATGGCGGACCTTTGGACCGCTCTCCCCCCAATGTCACTGCCGTCCATTACGCGGACGATCTATACATTCTCACTTCGAGTACAAGGCCTTCTCAAGCAGCTCACAAAGCTCAATTAGCCCTGGACCACCTTGAACATTGGGCAACCACATGCAGTTTATCTTTTTCCGCCACTAGAAGCTCTCCCGTCGATTTTTCTGCCAAACTCCACTGCCCTCCACTTACTTTGTCTCTTAACTCAGGTAATATCCCTCAGCGCCCTTCTTTCCGCATCCTCGGTCTTCATTTTTTGCATAACTTCACGCCCACGAGACTTTCTTAATAACCAAAGTGACTCGTGCCCGTTCCCTCCTCAAATTTTTTGCTTCTGGTACAGTAGAACCTCGAAAACTCGTCCCTCGATAACTTAGCACTCCGGATAACTGGTCCACACCTTGGCAGGGCGAAAAAATCCTTAGTTAATTAATTTTCATTATAGACAGCTTTATAAAAGTATAAAAGCTCTCATAAAGTATTTTTCTGAGGTCTGTCTTATCAGGTAAATTACTGTACACAGTGTATTCATTAATTTTCATTTTCATGTAGTGGCTCTATGCCTTCATAAAGGACGTACTTTTC